ATTCTATTCAATCGGTAGAGACTCATAACGATTGAAAACAATGTTTTTGTTTGAGTTTGGGTTTGACCAATTCGTAAAAAAAACAAAAAAAAAAACAAAAAAAAATAATTAAGACATGCGTGTCCGTCAACCTTAAACAATAATCTTTGTCAATTTTATTTTTCAGTCTTTATGATGGTGGATACTTGATCTATCTCTTACTGTTATATCTCCGGGCAACATTAGGGCTCTACCGCTAGTATAAGATATAGTTTTATGCATACATGTGTAAAAATATACATGTAAAAAGGGCCGTATGATATATATATATATATATATATATATATATATATATATATATATATTCATATATATATATATACTTGTGTGTATATATATATATATATATATATATGCTTGTATATATATATATATATATATATATATATATATATATTTAATTGTATGGATGTGACTTTGTAACTCTAGGTTCAATGCTTTTGCGATCATCAGAAAAACAAAGTGTTTGTCGGAGGATCGCAAAAGCCTGAAAACTTTCTGTTTTACAAGCTCTTATCCATGCCACAAATATGTTACCTCTATCAGTGATGTTGGCAACTTTCTCACAAGTACCGCATATATATATATATATATATATATATATAATATATATATATATATATATGCAAATTATATATATATATATATATATATATATATATATATATATATATATATATATATATATATATATATGCATATTATATTTATATACAAATATACATATATTTTATATATATCCATATAAACATAATATATATATATACATATATATATGCACATATATACATACTATATATACATACTATACTACATATATATATATATACATATATAGATTTATACATATATATATATATATACACACATATTTATGTATGTATATACACACACACACACACATATATATATATATATATTCATACATATATATATTGATTTTATTTCGTTCCCGTGAGTGTTATTATGCAACCAAAGTTTACGTTGTTTTTCAAACTAAGTCTGTCCTTTCCGTCTGTGTGTAAAGACGTTCTACCCCCTCTATTAATTCCGTTATTTATTATTTTGAATGTAGTTGTGGACTCGACTACATAGGTAGAACAACACAGCAGTTAGATATTAGGATTAAACAGCACGTGGCTGCTAAAATACTCAACAAAATATTTTCGTTTGGTGATACCATTCAAAGTACGTACGGGTCTTCCATAGCTGATCACTTGATAAATATTCTGACCTGTGTTGTGGATTTTAGCGTGTGCTGGTTCTCTGTTCTGTTCAGAGCACACTCGTTATTACATCTGAAGGTTTTCATCAGGTCCAGGCGACCCTCTCTTTGTAAACAAAGAGACTGTTTGCTTGAGCTTGCGGTGCTGTGTCTCTAGCGTCTTTGGTGTTATAACTTTTATTATTATATTTTTTCCCTGTCCATTCATTCACGTCATCCGTGACAGACTTTCTTCTCATAATTCGTTTCCCCGTTTACAGTTCTGACGAGAGGGGACGAAACCGGTCGACTTGTGTTCGTCTTTTTGTTTTAACATTTACCATGGCCTATTGTAAAAAAATGTCTTGCCTTTAACGCCATAATTCGTTTTTTTGCCGTTAAAACATATTTAAATATATATATATATATATATATATATATATATATATATATATATATATATATTTATGTATATATGCGTGTGTGTGTGATGTGATCAATTTTTTCCATTTACATAAATGTGCGTTTTATTTCAAGTTAGGAATAAAGATTAATGAGGTGACAGAACTGATATGCCAATATAGAATTAAATGCAAAATATATTTAAAAGTAAAGTAAAAAAATCATTGATGATGGGTGAGTGAATAGAACGTTAAAGGTGTAAAACTTTTGATAAAAACAATGAAAACAAAGGATTTAGGTTAAGCAGGAACAATAAAAGAACTATCATGTCATTTTCTGTGGTTCTTGCTTGACGCATCAATTCAAATTATGCCTACGCATTTCTCAGATCTTACGCGCTAACAAAAAATTTAAAAAAAAAATAACACGTTAATGAGCCCTATGTATGGGATAACATTTCCAAACGATCATACAATTACCTTAGATCCGGGAACACGAAATTATATCGACATAATCAATCATACATCTAGTTCTATGTGCCATTCCCTTTCAGGGCGTTAGCTATCATGGCTCTCCACAATATCCTGTCCTTTGTAGCTGTTAGTAAACACTGTCTTTTTGCTATCTTTCCGAAACACTATTTTGCGTTACAATCTCGATAGTTGCTGGCTTCCTCTTCCCCTCTTGGTTTCAATATGTGAGTTTAAAATTTTATAAGCACGTTATGTGTCCTAGAAATTTCCACTGTCTAATTCTGATGTTATTCTCAGCATCCTTCTGTAGAAGCATATTTATTGTTGCCTCAAGTCTTTTCTTCATCTGTGAGGAGATTGTCCAGTATTCACTGCCCTATAA